ATAAAACGAAATGCTTTCTACCATCTTTAATGAAAATCGATTTTTGAACGAAAAAAACTTTATAGGAAATATAAAATTTTGGCCTATTTAAAAAAGTATCCACATTTATACTGACCGGAAAAAATAAGTATCCCGCAAAAATTNAAAACTTTATAGGAAATATAAAATTTTGGCCTATTTAAAAAAGTATCCACATTTATACTGACCGGAAAAAATAAGTATCCCGAAAAAATTCGTCTAAAAATGTATCCAACTGGATCTATTTAGATCCAAACGGCATCCCTGCTCACGTATGCCCTCTAAATCCCACCACGCTAACGCGCCTGTCCCTATGGACAGACCCCGTCGAGGCTGCACGCTTCCTAGGGCTGCCGTTAGTGGAGCTTGACGACAACGATTGAGGGACTAACCGATCTGGGCGCTGGGTAGCCGCTACAACAACAACAACAACAAGAGAAGTTGCTACAAATTAAGTTTTAAAACAGAGATCAATTATGTTAGCAACTTTTGTAAAGTGTTTTAATTGCGTTAACTAGTATAGTTAATAGTTGTTATTGCATGAACGAGTTTCGTAAATGTTTGTTGTACAATAGAGATAATTGTACTGTAATTTGGTCATCTTGATTTTTGGTAAATCCGTCAAGTAGTCAAGGATAATCTAACAACAAATTTAAAATACTTTATGAAGTGAGATTTTCGAACAAACTTTCGATTTATGAAGCATTCTTTATTCTTTATGAATGTTTATACATTTTCGAAGGTATTTAAAAATTAAGTTAAATATCGGCTCTCTCCTCGAAATTAAATTTATAATCTTAAAACTCGAGTGTACATATTGCGCACTGTTTCAAAGGTGTACTAATTCAAGCCTTATCCATTCATTTGAATACAATATTTCAAACAGGTTATAATACCTAAGTGCGGCCGAACGCCGAATACCCAGAAAGGTGTTCTCTACAAGAAGTATCCCTGTAGGGAAACCGCGGACTAGTGAATCAAATTTCTAGTTCCGTACTAAGTCTTTATCGCCAAAAAGGAACTAGTCTGATAGGAACTAGATCCCCACCAGTCCAAAATCGGCGAAAAGTGGTACTTTTAAAAAATTAATTTTTTTCAGTTTTTTTTTCACTAGAGATCTATATCTAGGGTGACGAATTTAGAAATGGTTCGGAACTATAGAAAAAGGGATGCAGAACGAACTAGATCTTGTTTGTCGAATTTAGAACTAGTTCGGAACTATCGAATAAGGGATGCAGCGGGGGGCTTCTGTGTTCCGCGACTTTTTCGTTCAAATACGATTCTATTCTGTGCTTCGCAGATGCTTTTTCATAGCTCGGTAATACAAAACTAAAATTTGTGTTAACATTTCAACATCTTGGGACAGTCTGGAATTTAAGAAATAACAGCGGACACCTCTGCAAACTCAGCAACAGCTAAAGGTATGTATGTAAATTGAAAACACGTTTCTTCCAAAATAACTTAAAATCGCACACACGGAAGAACCAAAAGGATTGAAAAATCATGATACTTTTTTCTTTCGTCTGTCGATTTTAGAACTGGTTCGGAACTATAGAATTTAGGACTAGTTGGGAACTATCGAAAAAGAGATGCAGCGGGGGGCAATTGACACTTCCTAGGACATCGCCATGTTAAATTCGCCAGTTGCTTGCATGCAAAAGAGAACCAGTACTGGGTCTAAATGTACTAGAAGCGCACCAGTTCAGAACTAGAGATTTTCCCCACAGGGATTCAGCCTCTCTTCTTCGGCAACACAGAAAGGAGAACGATCGCCGCCTGCGAAGAAAGCTGTTCTCTGCAAGAGGTGGTCAGCCTCTTCTTCGGCAACACAGAAAGGAAAATTATACTTCGTGAGTGTTATAATCCCTAAGCGCGGACGAAAGCCGCCAACGCAGAAAGGTGTTCTTTGCAAGAGGTGTTCATCCTCCCTTCTTCGGTAACCATAGAAAGGAAAATTCTACTTAGTGAGGGTTATAATCCCTATGCGCGGATGAAGGCCGCCTACGCAGTAAGCTGTTCCCTGCAAGAGGTGTTCAGCCCCTCTTCTTCGGCAACACAGCAGCCACTAAGGCACAATTTTACTCAGAGGTGTTAAAGAATGCATTAATTTTTAACTAAATTATTCATTTGATTGAAGTCCCGAGTGATTCATAAATCACTTTTTTATTCATTTTTTGTTAGTCACTTTATTTCAGTCATTTAAATGCATTCTTTTGCAGTACTTTGAATTTTTTTCAGGTATCGAGGACGCATTCCGGTTTTGGTTTATTTATGCATGAAAACAAAAGGTAGTTTAAAAAAATGCGAACAAAACTCAAGGGAACGTTCTTAAGTCTTTCGTACAGAATGTGCAAATAACATTCGGGCTGAGGTGGAGTTTGTTAGATTTTATACTGATCTACATCCCAACTGTAGCAATATGATTTACGCATACATAAGTAGTAAAATATATTTTGTATGTATTGAATTGACTTAAAGCTCAGTTATGCAAGACTTAGACTTCACTTGACTTGAAAATTGTATATCTGGCAAATGAGCAGCGCGTGTATGTAGTTACCCAAAAAAATAACTTCACTTAGAAACTTGGAGAACTATAGATTTTTGATTTCTAATTTAAATTTCTAAGTGCAAAGAGAGCCGTGAGACAATCATGGTGCCACATCATTTTTTCATATATTTTTAATAAAATTCCTCCAAACATGCCAAAGAAATATGATTTTTTATATAAATGAAATTCATCTGGCAATCGAAAAACAAACTTTCAAATAAATACAGAAAATAAAATAAAAACAATCACAATTTGATTCGCTTGAATGTATTTATTTCAATTGTAATTTTTATTAAATTTTACCCCAAATAAATTAAACGTTTAAGATTTTTCGTATACAAATACAAAAGCTGAGGATAAAGAAATCGATAAAACGCAGTAGATGACACGGAAAGTAATCGTTTCTAAGTTTCTAGGTAAGTCAAGTCAAATCTAAGTCTTGCATAACTGAGCTTTTATGTTTAAATTTTTAAAAAAGTAAGTAGGATTTCTGTGATGTTTTGCAATCAGTGTTGGGCAAAATTGTATTTATTAAGTATTAAGTACAAAAGTATTTATGCCGTGCGCAAGTTCTTTTTCTTGAATATTTAGAATAAATATTTTTTCGACCATCTACTATATTTAATCACATACGGAAATTAACCACATATATTTATTTTGAGATCATATATGTTCATATCGTCGCCTCAGAAAACGGATGACGAATGTGCAAAATCACGATTTTGGGATTTTGATGCAGATTTACTAAGTTGGACATGCTCTTTCGATTTCTGCAATCCATTTTTTTATATCTCCATTAGTTTTTGAGATATTTCGTGCGCATTTTGTCGTATGTTACATAATATTAATGATTGGGTATGCCTTTTGTTGTATGTGCTGAAAATGCGTCACATACGACAAATTCCCATACAAACGTACCTTTTTTTTAATCATAAAACGTTTGTCGTATGTGGCACATACGACAAATTCCCATACAAATGTAATCTTTTTTTAATCATAAAACATTTGTCGTATGTATCGCAAAACTTTGAACTTACGACAATTGGATGGTCCTCTACTATAACGATACAATTAAAATTGGAAATTGAACTAAGTAACTAATTTTAAAATTTTAAATTTTTAAATTTTAGCTTGCATTGAGTCTCCAATGAAATGCAAGAGATAAAAATGTACAAAAGACTGAATTTAAGTATTGTTTTTTGTTTTTATATAAAGAAAACGTATGTTCGTAACATATTTACAGCATAAGAGATGTACAGATTTTTTTTATTAAATACATGATTATGTTTTTGTTATGTTTTTTCTAATAAGTAATCATTATTTAATAAATATGTCTGTTTTTTTCATCAAATTATACCATCGTCGTTGAAATACTTACTTTACTATTGTCGTATGTTCTGTGGACAAAACAAAGTGGTGAGTAAACGCTACTTACGACAAATGTATACGGAATGAAAAGTAAATTTTCTCATTAACGTTAAGAGATATTAAATGTAAAAATATGGGAAATCAAAACTAATAACACCAACTACGTCTCCTTCAAAAGTTACAAAAATCTACCGTACAATTTCGGATTAATTCGACCTTAAACTTCAAAGTCAATTTTCTCAAAACCGTGTTTTGTAACATTCGACATCCGTTTTCTGAGACGACGATATGTAGGTGATTAAGAAGTGCTGCGATCTGTGGTGTCAGGTTAATAGACCGAAATCATCTGAAAAGATTATAAATAAATTGGGTTCACAGCTTAAATATCCGGTTGTGACAAGGTGGAACTCATTGTGCGACTCCATTCAATGATTGATGTTACATAAGGAAAATATAAACGAGCTTTGTGACGAACTTGAAGAGGAACAGTTTCACGAAAATCATTTTAAATATTTGGACGAGTATTTGAAATTGTTAGAACCGATATCAAAAGCGATTGAGTTTTTGCAGCAAGACAATATAATGGTCTATGGCTATCTTCTTCCTACATTGGCGACGCTAAGAACAAAATATCGGAAGATTCGAGCAAATAGCATATTAAAAAATTTTGATAACATAGTTGCTGGGAAAATTTTAGAATGGTAACCCCCGAGTACGGAATTAAGGAAAATAGGGGGGGTAGAGGGGGTTCTAAAGGGGGTATATGTAAAGTTTTAAAGCGCGCAACCTCATACTTTTTAAGTAATTTGTTATTAAAGTTTGTAATTTTCACCAACTTGTATGGGACGATTTCACAATATATAATGCACTTTCCACTAAATTTACAGGTTATTTACACTCAATATATGCGCAGTTAGAGTGTGCACGTTCAAACAAATAAATACTTTAAGTATATTACAGCTTTTTTATCAAAAATTGATTGTTGTTTAATTTTATGAGTACATGCAGAATATGTGCAAATGGCAGCAGGACTGTGTTGCCATATCTTAAAAACCAAGAGTGGAAAGCAAGACCAAAAGAAAATACGATTAAAAGGAAAATACGATAAGGTTCTTTTGTTCAGATAAAAATAAATAGTAGGGGGATTGGGGTCATATTCCCCCATAAAATACTGAAACACATTTTTAAGGCTTATATGTATATTTTATTGCGTCAATAAGTTTAAGGAAAGGGTCCTCATGCTTACGAGCAATTGTTTTGCGCCACAGATATTCTATAATTTTATCCGCAAAATTAGGAGGATTATTATAGTTGTCTCTGTTAAAAAATCTTTTAATCACACGCCATTGTGATTCGATCCTTTGAGTATGCGTGCCGTCGTCTGCCACAAAGGGGTTATCCGGATCGCTGTGGTTTACTTTTCTGTGCTCATACCCGTGGTACGCTAGGCAATCGTACGCCTTCCAAAAATCGGTACAAATAATTGTACCCTCGGCCACATGTTTTTGAATGAGGGGTATGAACACCTCAGCAGACCGGACATTTTCTGGGCAGACTTCCAACCTCGGATCGTCGCTGCCGTCCTCAACCATCCCTAAGACCCAATGGCCTTCCACTCTCCTGCCTAAAAAAAAATATAAATTAAAGAATATGTGTTTTTAAATAAATTTTTGGTACCTTTGTGGTATTTTCGCTTCCCGAACTTGCTCTCGTCGATCTGAACAATTTTACCGGGGCCCCCAATTTTGCCTAACACCTCCTGCTGATCGACTTGATACAAAACAACTGCCTCACGACAGTAGTTGTACCAATCGCAGATGGTGGCGCTAGACAAAACGGTTCCCTCGGTAATACTTTCTTTTCGGACTTCAGCCTGGTTCCAGTGCGAAGCGTAGGCGTACATTACGTAAAAAATGTCTGGTAGTGGAAGCTTGGCATTTTCAAACCACGTACCAGTGGCCCTAGAAACGCCCGATCTTGAACGGCAGCTCCCTTTGCGGCATCGAAAGCTGCCGACCGTGTTGTTACCCAATGGTGAAACCGTCACTGGGATTTTATGCGTACGGCATAATCTTCTGGTCAAAATTAGACCCTGTGCCTCTGCGTAAGCGGTACATTTTTCACGCGTATCAAAAGTCTTTGATACCTTTAGAAGGCTCCACATTCCGCGTACTTCAGCGACGCACAGTACAGTCGCATTTCGTGGATGAACACCACGGCTAGTGGAGGGCGTATCGATATCTTTAAATAATACGATAAATATTTACTAGATGTATAAATATAAGCACTTAAAACTTTAAAAACATACCTGCTTGATCGTCAGTCATTTTAGTTTAAAATAAATAATAATATACAAAACCCAGAGCTCACAAACANCGAAAATCAGAGCTCACAAACAACGCCGAAATAACGTTTGGAAATGAGTATAATACTAAAGCAGAGAAAGAAGCGTTACTTAGAATAAAACTAACAGTACAATCCACAGTGGTACCCACTAAAAGGGGTACCAAATCTCTGTGGAACAAAAACAACATAAATAATAATTTTTACTTGCGTCCACAGTATTTTAGCGTAGAATTCTTTTCTGCGTAGGCCGCCTTCGGCCGCGCTTAGGGATTATAACCCTCACAACGTAGAATTCTCCTTTCTGTGTTGCCAAAGAAAAGGGGCCGAACACCTTTTGCATAGAACACCTTTCTGCGTAGGCGGCCTTCGGCCGCGCTTAGGGATTATAACCCTTACTTCGTAGAATTCTCCTTTCTGTGTGACATAGCTGGGGCTACCGCCCCAGTGATGTAACCTTGGGAAAGGATGAGGTAACTAGAATTCCCTTTCTGTGTGGTAAACCTGGGGCTGCCGCCCCAGTGATGTCTATTTTGGTTACGGTTACGGGCATAAAAGCCAACCGCACCTTTCTGCGTTGGCGGATTATAACCCTCACTGCGTAGAATTCTCCTTTCTGTGTTGCCGGAAGAGGGGAATATGACCCCAAGCCCCCTACTATTTATTTTTATCTGGACAAAAGAACCTTATCGTATTTTCCTTTAAATCGTATTTTCTTTTGGTCTTGCTTTCCACTCTTGAGTTGTAGATATGGGAACACAGTCCTGCTGCCATTTGCACATATTCTGCATCTACTCTCATAAAATTAAACAACAATCAATTTTTGATAAAAAAGCTGTAATATACTTAAAGTATTTATTTGTTTGAACGTGTACACTCTAACTGCGCATATATTGAGTGTAAATAACCTGTAAATTTAGTGGAAAGTGCATTATATATTGTGAAATAGTCCCATACAAGTTGGTGAAAATTACAAACTTTAATAACAAATTACTTAAAAAGTATAAGGTTGCGCGCTTTTAAACTTCATACAGGGAACTGTTAGACCCCCCTCTACCACCCATATTTTCCTTAATGCTGTACTCCGGGGTTACCAATCTAAAGCCCACCCTAGTTGCTTCATTCGAAGAATCATTGAAAGATATTTCGTAAATATTATGATTTGGAAAATTCAAACGACGCTGTTATAGCTGCCATACTTTGTCCAGACATTAAGACAAAGTGGGTCAAGTGTTTGAATTCGTCGTTTGATACTGGCAAAGTTAAGGAAATCAATGATGTAGTAAAAAATATCTTATCTGAGGAATTCGACTCTAATATCATCCCTATTCAATGCAAAACACCTTGCGAACCTAACAATAGCGATTTTTTTGATTTTTCTTTGACTGGTAATGACTAGTTAAAACTGTAAAAATAAGTAAGTAAATCAATTTTCGGCCGCTGTGGTGTAGTGGTAAGCAGTGCGCGCTTCTACTCCGCAACGCCTGGGTTCAAACCCTGGTCAAAGCAACATCGCAAAAATATAGAAAAAAGGTTTTTTCTTAACAGCGGTCGTCCCTCGGCAGGCAATGGCAAACCTCCGAGTGTATTTCTGCCATGAAAAACAGCTTCTCATAAAAATACAATCGCCGTTCGGAGTCGGCGTAAAACTGTAGGTCCCTCCGCTTTGTGTGACAACATCAAGGCGCAC